GGGAACCGCCATGAAACAATCATCAAGTTATTATTAACTATCAAAAGCTTGTAAGGCACCTTCACAAAATGCCAGTCCTTCAAATAAAGCACCGACTTGCCATTACCATTACCATCAAGGTCCTCTACAGAACCCTGAAGCCAGTGATTAACAAACTCCAAAACAGACATCTCTACCCTTTTCTGATCAGTGAATTCCCTTGTACCACAATCTGCAACCTATGAACACAATACATAAATTCAAGGGAATTAAATCAAACAGCCAAAGCCGCAAATCTCCAAAGAATCCAAAACGAGTGAAACTGAAACCAATCTGTCCTAAAAACAATTAAAAAACAAAAAAGATGCAAAATTTAGAAAGAATAAATACCTGAACTTTGGATTTACCAAAATGGGTAGAGAAGAAATGGAGGTTAGGTTGTCCATTGGAGGAAACCCAGTCTTTGCAAGCTCTCCAATCATCCATCAAACCAGTTAAAACCACAGGCTGGTTTTTGGCTAAGTATCTTTCAGCAAACTCACTGTAGGAAAGTTCTCTTCCATTTACCTTCTCAATCTGCCCCCCAATCTTTATACCCATTTTCTCTTTGTCTCTGATTTCCTTGACGGCTCAGTTAATTATGATCTTCAGACAAAGGGCGTCATTGAGGACTAGTTCGGAGTCGTTTTTGAGTTGAGTTGGACGCGTGCGTTAAACCCGGAGTGCCATTTTCAGTTTAAACATAGAAAAAGCCACGTGGCTTCTCAGGGTAGGTTAGGAAATGACTATTGGGAAAAGTCGTCGTGTACGGACGCTAGCCATAGAAATGAAGGTGGCAAACAAAAATTCCCACCCGCCGCAGCTCCTACAGTACTGCTCGTGCTCTAAACTGAAGTGCTGGGTTAATTTTAGAAGACATGGCGGATTCATGCTATTCAGCCTCGGAAGGGTGCCAAACCACCTTCCTCTGCTGAACAGTAAGTGTTATTCACTTTTTCGTTTCATCTGGTTTTCATATTTGTCTTTTCTTCTTCTTTTTTTACACTTCTGGAGTGAAAAAGAATAAAAGTTTATTCCTTTTTGAGCTTTGATGAAACTTTGTAGTCAAAGTTATGATAAATGTGCTTATATTCGTTTGAATTTGGCTTTTCTTTAGTTTGGTGATTGATTTCTAATGAAATTTGGTTGCTTTCTGGTTCCAAACAGACGTAGTTAAGGGAAATAAATTAAATTATGATCATTTATTTTTTACATATGATGAACAGTGATGTGTAGTATGTATTTGGATGATCATAAATTGATGATTTCTCCTGAACGTGATCGTCCTTGTCCGTTTGAGGAAATAATACTCTGTTTTGACAGCAGTAAATTTTTGTAGCTTGTTGAAGCTTGGTGTGTAATAATGTTTGTTTTGGAAGGATATGGAGTGATCCCCTCTTACTACATATTCTAGTGGGAATCAGTTGTTTGCTTGTTTGCAAAATTTACTTTGAGGTTGTCCTGGTAAATGTTATTTGGTTCAGCCCTTGTCAGTGGCATAATTACTGTGATCTTATGAATCAGGAAATTAAGTAAAAAGGATTCCTCCACCACAATTTTCGACTGCAAGAAGTCTCCCAACCATCTTATTGTTGATGAAGTTATCAATGATGATAATTCGTTGCCATGCGCCATAATGCAATGGACAAGCTTCAGCTTTTCTGAGGACATACGGTTTAAAAGAGGTGAGTATTATCTCTTATTACCCTGCTTAGTGTTAGACATACTTCTTTTAACTGGAGAATTTACTAATCTTCTTTTCTGTGGTTCAGGGTAAGAAGAGAAGGGACACAGTTTGCATTGTTCTTGCTGATGAACAATGTGAAGGACCAAAAATTAGAATGATCAAGGTTGTAAGATCCATCTAAGAATCCATGTTGGGGATGTTGTGTCTGTTCTTCATCACTGTCCTTATGTGAAGCATGAGAACCCAGTTCATATCCTTCCAATTGATAATACAAGTGATGGCTTAACTAGTGACCTAGGTGTATTTCTGCAGTGTAAGTTTTATTTTATACTTTTCCTCCTTTCAGGAGAAATCTATTTCATTCATTTTTTTTTTCTTTTACCTTTTGTTTCTCTTAATTATTAGATTATTCTGACATTATTTAACTATTGCTTCCTGGTTCAATATCATACTTTCTAGAAGATTACCCACCTTTAAGAAAAGGTGACATTTTCATAGCTAAAGGCACAATGAGAACTGCTGAATTTAAAGTAATCGACACAGACCCTGGTGAATATTGTTTTGTTGTATCAGACACAATTGTAAACTGGGAACGAGAGCCTATTACAGCCACTACGAATATGCTACAGAGAAAGTATCATAGCCTGGTGAATATCATGTTGTTGCACCAGATACTATTGTAACCTGGTGAATATGTCAGTGTGACAGCAAATACGCTATTAGAGAAAGTATTGAGAAGGTAAGATATGTCCTTCAGCATGAAATGCCTAACATATTTGCATAAGCATGCCTAATCATGAAATCTCAAGTTGTTCAAGTACATAGATTAAAGATATTTGTTGGTACCACACAAGTTGGATACAATTATTAATCTTTTGTTTATGTTTTTGTTCTCTTCTTTTCTGCTATGTGAGTTTTATGTGTGTGTTTTGTTTTCATGCCACTCCTTGGGGATGTCAGGATCCTGGGAGGGAGAAGAGGAAGAGAGAAAACTCTGAAAAAATTGAAGAAGATGAAATTGATGATGTTGCTGATATAAAAGGCAGCACACTTTGAGGAATCAATGAAACATGCTCGCTGAAGTGTTAGCAATGAGATATCAGGAAGTACCAGCTCTTTCCTCAGATATTGCTGCAATCTCATGTATTTGGTTCTGGATTTCGTTTTCCAGAAAGAAGCGAAAATGCCACCAGAGGAGCATCAGACCCATTTTCTTCTGCCGCAGCTGCTGGTGATGATGATCTGTACAGCTGAATGGAATCTATTTCATTTTGAAGGTATGCAATCTGTGACATGCAGTTGCACAACAATATAGTCCATGTTATATTTTCATTATGAAAGAACTAGTGTTTGGCATTCTATTTTAGTTTGTAATTATTTCCATGTTTATTGTCATTTAGGAATTTTATGGTCTCTGATTAAAAGTGCATTATCATAATGAGCAAGGCTTGATCTATCTTGTCTATTGTACACTGGTATTGTGGTTTGGTTTCTTTGAATTGGTTAAGGCCTGCTATGATGCCTTTGGAAATTGGCTGTACTTAAACAGTTTGAGCCCATAGCCTTGATATTGGGTTGAATCAGTCAAATAAAGCATCTCTGAATGGCATCTAATTAGCAAGATTTTGTACTATTGTTTAAGAATGGTTAGAGGCTACTTAGAGCAATTGAAATTGACACGACTCTGTCGACAAACATTCTTGACAGCAATCATTCCGTACGTAGTAAATTTTATACCACTTTGCAGTGCTTGTTACACATAAGATGGGGTTCTGAAGAGCAGAGTTGTTGGCCATAAAGCCTTGGCCTGGGAAGTGTGATGTTAACATCACAAGGTAATGAATCAGGAGATTAGAAAGTTGTGTGTTTTTTTTAGGACCAAACATATCCTGGTAAACAGAAAAGGGTCATTATTGCTTTTCAAGGTGAGAAAAATTACAGAGCAGAAAACCTGAGGATTCACCTTCTGATTCTATAAATTGCTGAACCAATAGTCATAATGGCAAAGCTGGGCTGAAAGTGAACCATCATTAGTCCGTCCCTTGTCCCTATCTTTCGACTTGATGACCAATGGGGTAATGTGGGATCGCCTCCCCTGCTGCATGTGGTGGACCTTTTTACCTTCAGATTTCCTCACTAACAAAATACAGCATTCATCATGTCCGTGCGGGACATGTTGGAAATCTTTGATGTGCCTTTTCTTCTTCCCAGTTTCCACAAAATATATGGTAATTGGTTTATTTTGCTTCTCTTAATTCTTTATTGGTACAAATCAGAATACATGATTTACTTCCAGTAGGTGTTGTTATTTGTTTCGTGAATCAGGCCCATCGCACCAGATGATAATCTCCCATGAGGGCTCCATTTGGTTGTAAAAGTCTCTGGATTTTTGTGTCAGCTTTACCACATGCAGCAGGTTAATGCAAATCAGGTGCTGAAGTAGTTATTTAACTTGGTTTCTCCTGCTGCATTAGGAATAGTTGTAGTAATGTTGATTTTACTGTCAGGAAACTTCCTGGAAATTTTTCATTTGCATCTGATTAGAAAAGGAAGAGAAGAAAGCTGATGCATTTATGATCGGGGTGTGAATTTGCCAACTGATGCTATTTAAACTTAACCAGGACTGACATGATCATGAGGTTGCTTGGAATTTGGATGCATAACCAGTCTCAAAAGCCGATGAGTAAGTTATTTGAGAAAGACAGACAGCCAGCTAGCCAACCAAAAGTACTGATCGAAAGTGCATGCAAATTTGTAGATCGATTTAACATTTGAAGGGATGTCTCGTTTTGCTTGTAGTTGTAGCTAGAAGCCTTGTTTTTTCACATGATCGCATCCCCAATATTCCATTATCAAAATGTTGATAATTCTTGTACTAGCAGGTTGCATCCATCTCACATGGTGGGGACCTTGATGGGTTTCCGAGGCGTCCTCTCCTTATCCTTTAAAACAATTATACATGAAAAGGAGAGAAACAGAGAAAAGGAGAGAAAGAGAGACAGAGAGATTGGGAAGGCTAATCATTGCCGACATTTCCTCACAGCCACACATCCCCCTCCTCTCCCTCTTTTCCTCATTCCCAAGGGAGTGAAAAATCATTCTCGAAAACCCCCTTTTGTAAACCTCGCAGACGCCACACAGCACACATCCCTTAAGATAAATGGTTTCCACAGAAAATTATAGAAAATCACTTCACATCTAAGCAACATTTCCATGTTCCCCTACATCACTATCTGCATTTTCTTGTTTTGCATCTGTTTCTTCCATTTTGATGAAAATGCCATGTAATTAGGTGTAAAAAGAGAAACCCAAATGCGGGAAATGCTTTCATTGCTCTAAGGGGATTAAGTCATCAAGTTGCTAGCTATACACTCATGATCAGGTTCCATCTTGATCTTATCAAAATCTAATCGGGAAAAACACCACTTAACTGCTCCTTGCTACCTTTATACAATGAATAATTTTGATGGAAGAAGACAGGCTTTTGTTATTGGCTTCTTGGGATGTAATTTGCTGAGGAAGAAGAGTAAGCAAGTGAGCTTTGAGAGGACCCCTGGAGCAGCAATTGAGCTGGGGTCACTGATGATGACGAGTACGAAGGAGTCGTTTCTGTCTTCTTTGAGGAGTTGCTAGTCGGCTTGTGGGCCTCGGTGCCTACCATGGGTTCCTGCAGAATTTCCTTTAATAATGCCGCGACATCTTTCATTATCGGCCGATCGTCCGCCCGATTGCTTGTGCAAAGCAATGAGATTCCTAGCGCTTGGAGCATCTCCTGTATCTGAGTGTCTGGATGACCTTGGAGTTTAGGGTCAAGGATTTCTACTGGGTCCTTCTTGTTCTTCAGGTGATCTCGGACCCATTGGATTACATGTTGGCCGTCAGGGAATGATGGGTCTACGGGTTTTTTTCCCGTTATGATCTCCAGCAAGACTACTCCATAGCTATAAACATCGCTCTTTTCTGTGATCTTTAACATGCAAGCATATTCTGCAGAAACCATGTCACGAAAAAGTTATTAGATCAGCTAAACAAGGGAATGACACACCAAATAAAACAGAAAAAGGGGATGCAATGCGTCATTGCAAAACAGGACAGCAGAGACAGAACAGTGAAACTGTTAGTTGGCTGGTCACTTTTTTATCGTTTTCAAACAGAAGCCATGAAAGCTGAGAGTTGAAAGCAAAAACTGTGCGGTGAACTTCCAATCAAAAGAGCGTGCGGCTGTAACAGTTGCAAAATTATCATAACTCAAAACCAAAACAAAAAAAATGCAACAAGGAAGCTTTTGAAATCGACTGATTTATCTCCACTACGTATTTAATTAAAAACCTCATCATCAACTAAATTCCAAGAACTTGGAAAGTAATTGAACTCCTAATAACGCAAAAATTAAGTGAAATCTTTGCTTTAAGTCTCAATCAACCCTTTGAATCAAGACATAATCCCATATTCGTCTCATCGCCCACAATCATAATCAATAATCATAAAAGATATTATTCCCCAATTAGCATCTTAATCATGATTCTGACATAAAGCCAAAATTGATCTCATTGAAACAGAAACATGATCAATTTTCACAACAAAAAGAAGAAGAAGAATTAGGACCCATCATGCTTACCTGGTGCCATGTAACCATAGGACCCAGCAAACTCTGGGTTGGCCGAAAACGAGCTACCATGTTCATCCTCGACCAATCTGGCAAGCCCGAAATCCGCCAGGCAGGGCTCGTACCGGTCCCCTAACAGGATATTATGAGCCTTCACGTCCCGGTGTAAGATTGCCGGCACGCAGTCGTGGTGCAAATAAGCTAACCCTTCTGCCAAGCCTAACGCAATCTTGAATCTGATGTCCCAATCTAACAGTTCTCTTCCGCAACCTTCGTGTAATAACGCACCCAGAGTACCATTTGCCATGTAATCGTAAAATAACAGTTTAGTCTTTCGGTTGGCACCCCAACCCAGTAATCGTACAATGTTGCGGTGTCGGATTCTTGCCAACGTGGCAATTTCGGAGGAAAATGAGCCGGCTGATGTTTTGTCTGAGGAACGGAATCTTTTGACGGCGATGGTTAATCCGGACGGGATGGTGACTTTGTAAACGACGCCGGTTCGACCACGGCCGATGATGTTGCCAGCCGTCAGGGATCTTGCCACGTCAGCGATTGACAAGTCGAGTTTCTGGAACAAAGTCAGCTCCCATGGTGGGCCCATTTCTAGGACAGCGTCGCCGTCAATGTCGCAATCATGATGAGGACTGCGCGCTTCGCTTTTTGGAGCTGATGATGATGTAGAGTGCCGCCAGAAGGAGAGCGCAAGCGGTGCAGAGCAACACCACCATCGCCACGCGTGCCGCCGTGCGCTTAGACGGGGAGCCTCCGTATTCGGCGGCGGAACACTGATTTCCGGAGACGCAGAGCGAAGGATTTCCCGAAAGGACGCTGAGTGGTAGCTTCGAGAAGAAGGGAGTGTCCGGCACTCGCCCTGTGAAGTTATTATGCGACACGTTAAGAACCACGAGATTTTGCAACCCGGCGAGATTTTGAAGATCTCCGCAAGTTGATTGTGAGATATATCCAGAATCCCGAGCTTGTCCAATGCCGTGAACTCCTCCGGAATCTTGCCGCTTAGCTGGTTCCAGCTCAGATTGAGAGCGATTTCAAGCGCAGGAATCTTCCCCAAACTTGCCGGAATGTTCCCCATGAACTGATTTGAACTTAAGTCTAGTAACTGAAGCTTCGAACAGGACCCCAGTTGACTGGCGATCGAACCAGAGAATCGGTTATTTCCAAGAACGAGTTTTGTAAGCGAACTCAATGAACCGAGACTCGGACTCAGCGTCCCTTCGATTAAGTTATGAGAGAAATCCACGAACTGAAGTGAAACAAGCTTGCTCAAGCTAACCGGCAAGTTTCCGCCAACAGAATTGGAATGCAGATCAAGAAAAGTCAAATTCTGACAACCGGATATTTCTTCCGGTATAAACCGGTCAATCGATTCGACCCGAGATCCAAGAAATTCAAGTTCTGTAAGTTCCCAATCTGGATAGGAATTGATCCGGTGATCTTGTTATCGTTGGCTCGAAACCGAATCAAAGAGGAGCAGTTGCCAATCTCCGGCGGGATATCTCCCGACAGGTTGTTAGAGAGAAGCAACAGTTTGTTGAGTTTCTTGAGCTGGAAGATTCCATTTGGGATGGGACCTGTCAGGCTGTTTTGAGATAAATCAACGGCTTCCAGGTTCTGGCAGTTGGAAATGGAGACCGGGATGTTGCCTTGCAGCTTATTCTGCCAGAGAAACAGGAGCGTTAAGTTCGTCAAGTTCCCCAATTCCGAAGGTATTGTTCCAGTGATCTGATTGTTGTCGAGTTCGATGTGAGTCATCTGGCGACAGTTCCTGAGGGTGGAAGGATTTCGCCCGAGATTTGGTTGACGCTCAGCTGAAGTTCCTGAAGCGATTTCAGGTTTCCGAATGATTGAGGAATGCTTCCGGTTAATGAAGTCATCGAGGCATCAATGACTAACAGTTTGTTGCAGTTTCCAAGCTCCGGAGGAATGATTCCTACCAAGTTGTTTTGCCAAAGCAGCAAGCTCTGAAGATTTCTCAAATTGCCAAGGCTTCTTGGTATTGATCCAGCCAGGGAGTTTTCGTATAAGTAGATGTTTTGTAGCTCGGTGCAGTCCCCGAGTTCGGGGGGGATTTGGCCGGAGAGATAAGCTGTGTAGATTGCGACCGTTTGAAGCTTCTTGAGCAGGCCTAGAGTTGGAGGGAGGAAACCCGAGATGCTTGTTTCAGCTAGGCCCAACATGACCAAATTGGTGCAGTTGCCTATTGCTTGCGGGAGAGGGCCTTCCAGGTTCTTGTTGCCACCAGCTCGAATCACTTCAAGATTCTTCAAGTTGCCTATGGTACTGGGAATTTCACCGCTGAGTTGATTGTCGTATAGGATTAGCCATTTCAAACTTGTGAGGTTCCCAATTTGGATTGGTATCGAGCCCTTGAGCTGGTTTGAGTTGAGATAGAGTTGTTCAAGCCTAAGCAAGCTGCAGAGCTCACTGGGGATTTCACCAGTCAAGACATTTTCACTCAAATCTAAGTGGCTCAATTGGGTGAGAGTGCTTATCTCTTTTGGGATTGAACCAGTGAGGTTTGTTCCAGACAGGACCAGCTTGTTCAAAGTTGACAAAGAGGTGAAATTAGAAGGGACTTCTCCAAATAAATCAACATATCTCAATTCCAGTTCCACAACTTCATTGTTAAAGTTGCAGACGATACCAAACCACTTGCATGGAGTTTCATCCTTGGCATCCCAATTGCTCAAGGCCTCCGGGGATCCATTGGAGCTTCTCTTCCAAGAAAGAAGAGATTCACCTTGTTGGTTAACCGCGAAAGCTGTGCAAAGGAAGGGAATTAGAAATGAAAAAGAGAGGAATAGGGAGGGGAAAAGGGTCCATGGATTTACAGGCATTACAGCTATGCTACAAACTCCAAGGAGAGGAGCAGAAAGGAGGGTTTGAGCCTAGGGAGGGACAATGGGAGAAACCAAATCATGTCTTGTGGGCTATGTGTTTTTGAAATGCATTGTATAAACTAATTTGCAAGACCCAGAATCTCCGGATCCAAGAAACAGCTAGGCCATGATGTTTTCTGCAGAGAGAAATGGAATTTTAGATGGGTGTTTTTAGCATTTGTTTATGGAGGAGGAGAGGTGGGGGGGGAACGGGATAACTGTTTTTTAATTTGAATCGAAGGGAAGAAAAGTGGTTGAGTGAGTGACTTTGTCTGCATTTTTCTGGTGTGGGAACTGCTTACTTTTTCATATCTTTACATGCCCTTATGCAATTCCCTTATATTTTCTCTTGGATCTTTCATAACAAACGAGATACTTGGCATAAATATTTCTGGGGCAAATCCACAGACAGATACCGCTAATTGCCCCCATATTTATCCAATTACCGTTTGAGGATTCTGACTCAGCTTTGTCCTGAGAGTCTGGAATCAGCCAACTAGGAGTAGCAGATGGAAACCCCTGTTTTACAGGTAGTAAATTCTCTTCTGTCCCAGCATGATTGGTTAAAAATGATAACCATCCCCTTGGTTAAAACGCTGAAAATCACAGCCATAGTCCATAGATGGAAGAGATGAATCTGGTATGGTGAAAATCTGCTTTTTCTTTACCTGAAGCATTTGCGGTTGTTCCTATTTCATTGATACAAATTTGCAGAAACCAGACTGAGGAAGTTCTATTTCATTGATACAAATTTGCAGAAACCAGACTGAGGAAGTTCTTACTTGAACTTTGGATTCCAAAGGAGTTAAAGCTAATTTCTGGTTTTTTGGCAGAAAGCCAGTGTCATCTGTTAAAGAAACCAAAAGGCTTCATTTAATCACTGTCCAAAATCACACTTTATAGGGTTTTCCAAAGCTGCAAAATTTTTTGTGTAAAAAGAGTAAAGCTGTTCTTTGAGTTGTAAAAATGACTTTAATTTCCTCAGATCTAAACCAAAATTAAAGTATTTGGGTCATTGGGATGGATCCAAATCCAAATAAATACAAAAAAAAAAAATTGGGTTTCCTTTTCTTTTTCAAATGCAATGTAAACCTACTCCAAAAAATTTTACTTGTTTCATGATGAGATCTATGGCATGGTCCCTTTGTACTATAAAACCTTATAATATTGCTCATAAATATTCTAATTTAATCAAATTATGATAAATTTAATTATAACCCACCAAATAAAATATTGTAACCATTAATTATATCCAGTCCAAATTCAAGACCTAACCCATGACCAGAATTATGGGGCAGAAGCAGAACCTGCAAACAACCCACAAAATCAGATACCCTTTTTCTCTCAGATTAAGATTTTCTTTTCAATATGAAAAGTTTAAATAAATGAAAAAACTTTCAGAGGCATCACGTGATGTTGAGTTAGTGAGAATAATAATATGATTTTGGGGTTAAAGAGTGTTTTTTTTTATAAAACTCAAAATGATGATATGAAGATGGGGTATTCCACACAAAATAAAAAAAACATATTCCCTGCCTCGTGGCTTTGCCTGTGGCTTTCGCCATTATTTTACTCAAATAAACCTTGCAAGTGTGTCTCAGTAGGAATCTAGGCACGAGAGGGGGAGAGGGGATGGCACATGAGAAAGAGAGAGAGGATGGTTTCTTGGTTTTCAGTAGTTTACACAAGCTATGGAGTGGGACAGCTTTTATGAGAAAAGATTGAATGTTGAATATTTAATACGATATTCGATTTAAAATTAATTAATAATAAACCAATCAATGAGAAATTTTTTCATATTTAAAAATTAAAAAGTTTATAACAAAAAGAGTAACGCTTGTTTTGTTTTAACATGTCAAATTAATAAGTAGAAAAATCGTTATTATATTTATAATACGTTTAAAATATATTTTATTTAAATAAATAACAAATATAATTTTAAAATATTCTAAAATTACGACCCATCACCAGGCTACTAATAATAGAATTCACTTAAGATCAAATTACATAATAAAAAAACTAATCACTTCTTTTGACTAATAGCACTTCTTACTAAAACGTTTATATTGTACCATTTAAAAACCCTATTGAAATTTCCTTTAATATAGAGTAATAGATAACAAAGAGAAAGTGACAAGGTAACCCCACTCACAAAGTGGAGCTACTTCCTTCCTATGTTCATCTCTTCTATCATTACCTCTACTAGTAGTAAAGTGTTGGCCTATTGTTTAATTTATTACAACTTGTCTGACACAAAAATATAGAGCATGACATACCTTTTTTCAAATAAGATTTTTACTCGAATCTTTAATTTTTTTTTAATAATTTTAAATTACATTCAAGCATTTAGATGAATGATTGATACAGTAATCGAATATTTTTAAATTTTATAATGATTCTATAGTTAGTAAGAAGTGAATTAATTTTTTATTAAAATTAATTAAATAAAATTTAAAGTAAAAATATAAAAATTTGTTGGTAAATTTCATGAAATCGGTTAATAATAGACTATTAAGAATTAGTAAAACGGAGATATATTTATTGAGAAAGGTAAAATAATTAATTTTTAAAACTATTCTATTTACATAATTCATTCTATAAAATTTAATTACTAAAATATCTGTTCGATTCTCAAATTTCAATATTTATTTGATCATTTTTAATTACAAATTTTATAAAATTTATTAGCCTTTTATCCATTTTAAAATAGTCTAAAAGAATCAAATCATCATCATATCTGAAAGAATCCCATAGTCAATAAAATTTCAATTGTGCCATGTTGTGATCACAAGTGCTTGGTTTTTAGCCTTGAAAGCAGGCAACTTTCTGGCGAAAATGTTTATTCTATGGAAATGAAGATAACCTTTATCATATCATTAAACTTAATTAGACATGCAAGCATGATCTCAACTTCACTTGATTCTAATCTCAAAATTAATCTCAATACCACACTATCAAAAAAAATTTATGAAAATTTGAATTGTATATTGATTCGCATGTATTATGAGAAGAGAAATTTTATATTTAGAATTATAAATTTGTTCAAGAAGAATGATGTATCAAACTAACAATATCTTAATCTAATCTCACTAATTTAGTCTACTGTTTAGTCTATAATTGCTGTAATTATATTACCAATACTTTTATTTTATATGATTGTTGGAATATTTATATGAAATAAAGCACATTTACAATACCAATTCACATAAAACTGGCACCTCTGTCTTTGCTTTATGACTTTTTATATAATCTATAATCTATAATGCATGAAAGTTTGATTTTCCTTTTCAAAGCTAGTACTGTCGTATCCCTTTAGAATGGTCCTTCTTCAAAAGGAAAGTAAAGAACTTCTGGGTTTGCAATCCTTGCAACCTTGTTAAGAAGCTAGAGGATCAAAGTCCAAAATAGTTTATTGTCGGGTTTATAAGATTTATACGCGAGCATTTAATCATGAAGGTTCACTTCATAAATGTATACCTTTCCTTATCTTGATGTGGTAACGTAAACCACACTTCCATTAACATTTATAAAACATGGGCAAAGCAAAGGGGGTTACTTTGATTGATTGCTTTTTGTTTTGTTTTGTTTTTTGTTTTAGCAATAATTGAGTAGCAATTAGAGAGACAATCCCAATGAAAAAGGGATTTCCAATCAAAAGGGTTAGTCAAACCATTGGATCATTCTCTTTTTCCACCATGAAAGCATAAAATACAATTCAAGAGATAATAAAATGGAAAGGATGGTACTCCATATCTTAATCCTTATACCAATACATGAATCCAATATGTTTTCATGTACTTTATGATAGTAATTCTTTCCTTAATGACTTGCCAATTGCCAGCCCTTATTTCTTTTTGGTGTTTTCTTACTTGCTTTTTGACCTGGTGGCTTCTTGTTCTTGTCCCCTTTCAATGGTGATCAAACACTATATATATATATATACACACACATTCCCACTAGCTTTCTCTTTGTTTCTTGGAATGTTCTTCCTTCCCTTCTTTCAAGGTTAATGGCCTCATTTACTTTTCTTCTTTCGGCTCCAAAGATTTGTTTAATTGCTTTTTCTCTCTTCTTGACAATTGCACCTCCTTTCCAAGCCACTAAGGGCCTTGTAGGCAGCAATTTTTTCCTGGAAAAAAAAATACAATGTAGGGTTGAATTCTTAAGCCAAGTATTCAAAGCTGAACATGCCCTTTGTTGGATATACAGTTTAATCTCAATTACCTCTCATACATAATTTTATTCAAAAAATAGTCAAAAAATTGGAAAACAATTCTTGCTTTCGGGTAAGAAACGATTCGGACTGAAATTCTTTAAACGGAGGATATATATACTTATGATTGAGTCAAATTAATTAATAATTGAATTTACTGAATGTGTCGTGAAAATTAACCAAACCGATGAAAAATAAAATTTTAATCGATTAATTCCATTAATAATCGAATTAATCAAAAAATTTTTATAATATTATAATCGAATTATGGTTTGTATGCAAATGGATCAATAAAAGAATTTTAATGTCGAAATCCATTGAATTAATCAATTTAATCTTGTTGACTTCTGAATTAATTGAATCAAATTTTATTAAACTATCTTAGTTCGATCAATTTGATTTTAATTAAAAATTAGACTAACCTTTACTATTCTCTTTGTTTTTTTTGTTTTGACACCATAGTGTGCCGGGAAAAACGCAACCATGTCGGAAAACGTGGCATTATAAGGAACCTCAAATAATTAGAAGAAGACGTGATGTGAACTAATAATGTGCAATGGGTGATGTGCATGGATTCCTTCATTAAACCTTGCTTCTGTTTTGTCAAATTCTTTTGCATAATTATAGTCACGTTGTTACTAATTAATGGGAGATTGCATGATATCACGACATCTGTCTTGGAATGTGGGAATGCCACAACGTCTGTCGTCATCTCAATTATCTATCCATGCACATGTCTTGTTTTCCTTTGTGGCCATCAATTTTTGGTTTGAATCTTAAGCTAACTCTTGAGTCCATGTGGTCTCTCTCCTACTCTTGGCCAAACCCTACAATAATTGGGCCATACACTCCAATTTTTACCCTCTTTTTTGTTTTTGATAAATAAAATCCGATTAAGACATATAAAACGTGTAATTATTTTACCCTGAGTTAAAAAAAATTACATTTTTAAATAATATTATTAGAGACTGTTCAAATCAGATTGTAATTACTGTTTTCATATTGGCAAAAATGTATAACCTATTGTCACCTAGACCTATCAATGGCTCTTTTTTGACCTTTAACGTTATATATTTGAAGTATAAAATATGTATAAATTGATAAATAAATTCCAAAAAATATGATAAAAATATTATTTTGATCTTCCGATTAGAACGTAAATGTGTTGGTAAATTGTGTAAATTTCAAATTTTCTAGGGGCTGTCTGAGAAAAATTGGGTTATTCAATTTTCTGGGTGCAGGGCTGCTCGGTAGGATTATTTCTGAAAACGAGAGCCTTACAAAAACCGAAAGCCCAAAGATATTTGTACAAAGCCCATGACACGAACATTGGAAGTAGATTAACAGCTTGCTTGACTTAGTTTTTTTTTTTCAAATTTAAAATTTATTATAAAATTTTTGTAAAAAAAAAATTAAAATTAAGTTAAATCTATTTAATAAATTTATTTTTGTAAATTCTTTTTAATAGATAAATTATTTGACAAAATAACTTATATAAACTCTAATTTTGATTAAAATTATCATAAAAAGTATTTAATAAATAATTTTCTATAAATTGTGAATTCTTTTATTTATAATTGAAAAAAGTTATCTTTATTTTTTATTTATTTAAAAAAATTATAAATATAAAAAAATATTTTTAAATAATATAAAGTTTATAATTAATAATAAATCATATAAAAAGTAAAAACAAATAATGTTGAGATTATTTTTAATCGATGTAAATATTTTTGAAATAAAAAAAATTATCCCAAAAAGAAGGCATTTTTTAAAAAAAATAAAAAAAGAGAAGGCTCTTCTTTGAGCTTTGCCTAATTTTTTTTTTCAAATTTTGTTCTTTAAAAAATTACTTTTTTGAAGAGCTTTTCAAAATCTCTATTTGGCTTGACTTCTACGTTTAAGAGATAGATAAATTGAAAAAAAAATTAGGCTAAACATGCATTAAATATACATTGACTACATGAATGATTAAAATTTGCATAATATTTTAAAAAATAAATTATTTTAAAAAAATTTAATAAATTGTTATTTTTTATTACGTTCAATTAAGTTCGCATATTTTTTATTTTAAGGCAAATGAGCTTTTATATTTTTATTTTAAGTCAAATAAGCTTTATATGGTTAATTTAGTTAAAATGTCATTTGTAATTCTATACTATGTGGCATGGTTGTGGCATGTTGACATGTCATACTTGATAATAACGTAGCAGGCTGACATATCATAATTGATGATATTGTCACATAATAACATAGTATGATTGTCACGGACCACAGCTCAAAGTATTAAAAGTGTCCCGAAGTGCCGGTATGTGGGAGAGCATTGCTGGGAAAGGACCCCCACTGGATAGCGTAAGGTAAGTGCAGGGTGCCAGTAGGGGCGCACAGCACAGACCCCTGGGCGAGCCAGCCCAACAGAGTCAGGCCGACTGCGTGCAAGCGCTACAACCCGCACAACAGAAGTGCCGGCACGCTGACCCGCACGCTATAGGTGCCCGCACGCTATAGGTGCGCGGCACGCAGGATGGCTCGGCAGGGGCGCAGCATGCAAGCCTGCATAGCGCCCAAACAGACTGCCTACGCGGGGCCTCTACGCACTAGCCCGCCAGCGCCCAGGCATACAGCCTATGCGAGACCCAGACCCACCAGATGACTCAGGAGGGTGCCGGCCCACCAGACCCATGTATTGAGCTGCTGAAAATTTCAGCTTTCCCTCCCAAATGAGCTTCTAGAAATTTTAGCTTTCCCTCCCAAATGTTTTGGAGGGAAATATTTTAGAGGGAAATGCTTTGGAGGGAAATATTTTGGGAACCTTAGCTATAAATAACCTCATGCTCCTTGTGTAAATCATCCCATTGAATACACTTCAATTCAGTTCATTCAATACAAGCTCAGCTTCTCTTTGCTAGCATTCTCTTCTCTTTTATTCCTTTTTCTTTTATGCAAGTTTGCTTGTCAGCTTAAAGCCACATTGGTGGGAGTTTGGGTGTCGGAAGGTAGAGGGCTTGCTGAGTGAGTGCTGAGGCATTAAGGCTGACTTGGGTTCTAGTACCGGGATAAGGGTTGAACCCAAGGCCGCACGGAGGGTGGTCTGAAGAATTGCCCCGTGACATGATGACATGGTCATATGATATTTTTTACTTTCTACATCAATATAATGTCAATGTCATATGGGTAGATATAGCAATACGTGTTTTCGTGTTTTAATCGTATTGACATGAAACACAATAAAGTTAAACTTGAATATGACACGAATAATTATTTGTATAAGCATTTGAAATACGTATATGGATATGTTCAATAACTGTTGTAATACGACATGACTAATATGTTTATTAAACGTATCAAAATCTTTTATATGACATGACACAATTAATAAATACGATTGAATGATTAACATAATTTTTCCTGACAAGTTTAACTCAATTAACTTAAATATTTAAAATTAAATATAAGTTTATTATTCAAATTTAAAATCAATAATTATAAAACAATTATAACAAAGTAACAAGAACATCAAATATAATAAAATTTAACATAAATAAAATTCATTATCATACTAATAAAATCTATCATTAACATTAAATGTATCACTCATACACGTTTAAATATAATAACATGATTAACACGATTAATGACACGTGTTAACCGTGTTTGACATAGTTAAAACACCAAATTTTTCTGTCTTAATTGTATCAACATGATTAAGCACATATAGACCAACTCAAACTTATTTAATTCCGTGTATTCTCGGTAATATTCAAAATTGTCAGGTCACATAAAGGTATAAAACGACAAGTGATATTTTGATTAATAAAAAATAATCAATTATTAGTCATAATGAATTATTGATTCAAAATAAAAATATATGAGTTTGACTGAATACAATAAAAGAATAAGCATATATATAAATTTTAAGGACATATTTAAATTTTATTTAATAGTTTAGAAATTTTTTAAACATCATGCCATTAAAATTTGACTATATTATTTTTTCTCACATTTAACCTTTTGAGACTTTTATGTTTTGATTACTCAAATCTGAAAATTTATGTTTTAGTTACCAATATTTATAATTGTTATTATTTTAACCACTCAATCGTTAAAACTAACAAATACCTCACTAAATATTCAAAGTCAATCATTCTACCACATGTTTACATGGTCAAGAAATTTAATTCCTTTTTTAATTTTTGTTATAGTTTTCATTAAAACAAAACAAAAAGAGATAAAAAAATTGCATAATATTTTAAAAAAATGCCATAAACTATTTAAGAGAAATTAAATAAGTATTGATTATTTTATTGTTTTAACTTAAATTTTTATATTTTTGTTTTATATCAAATAGGTTTTTATTATTAATAATTAATTAATTATCATTAATTAGAACATCGCTTATCATTTTTTATGTTATGTAACATTGAAGGTAAAACATGTCAAATTATTATGTTATGATATCACAATGTCATCTATTATGACACGACAACATGTCACATTTATATTATGCGATATAAAATTATAAAAAATATTTTAACAAATAACAATTAATCAACCATTAATCTATTTAATTTAAAATAAAATTATGAAAAATTAATTTAAGATAATAGAAGAGTAAGAACTTTTTTTAAATTTCTTTTTAATAGTTAAGACATGTTTTTTGATATTATTTAAAAAAAAAACAAAGACAAATAACACTTATAAGTAACCAAAATAGTTTTCATTGGTGCTTGTGTAATTTTATAACTATTGATTAGCATGGGAAATCATTCAATTCAAGCAAAATTTTATAAAGAAAATAAAATTAAAAACACCAATAATTATATACTTAGTTGTAATTAAAGATGTTTATGGGTCAAACTTATCGAATTTTTTTTTTCAAATCAAACTTAAACCTAGCTCCACTCGTGCATTTAAATATTATTTTATTATTAAAATAATACAATATTATTTATATTTTTTGAAATAAAAACAAAAATATATTATTTATTAATAAAAATAATTTAATTGAATTGGGCTGAACCAAACTGAACTTAAACTGAAACCCGATGCGGGCCTGGTCCGTGGACTTAAACGGGTCCCTTCATAGCTCTATCCACCCAATTTATTCTGCAGTTGAAAAAAAGCTGGCTCAGAGTTTGCCACGCAAGTAAATTATTTACGTGGCGAAATCACGATAATTTCCAGAACCACTTGTCCACGTGGGAAAGGCGTGGCACAAAATTTTGGTGATATTGGCGACCACGGGGGTACATCTCACAGATGCATCACCGCTCCAGTCCAAAGCAGCAACGAAGGTGAAATTAAAGTGAAAATGAAAATGGCGGGCTAAAACCAATTTCTGTTTTTCATTCAAATCAAAGCGCTCTCTCTCTCTCTCTCTCTGTGTCTCTCTCTCACACACACACACTCTCTCGCAAATGGAGAGCGAAACAGAGCAGTCTCCGAGGACGAAAATGGAGTCCCTGAGAACGATCTGCGAGAGGGAGGTTCCGATCCAACAACAGAAGATAGATTCTTTCACGGCGTCGTTCCCTACTTCTCTTCATTCCATCAGGGCCCTGGCGCAGGATACTGCCCAAAATCAAGGTCCGTAACCAAACTTCTTTCAATTTTAGGCTCTCTCACTTGAGTGCAATTAGGGTTTTGGAAAGAACTAGGGTTTATGTAGTAAATTCGGGGGATTTTTCTTTGTTATGTTACAGCTAAACTCGCGAAAATGAAAGCTAATTTGAGAGAATCCGAGGATGAGCTTGTCAAAGTTTTAGCAGGTATTGCTCCGTTAATTTCAACATCTTTTGGTTTTTTTTTTGTTTGAATTTATATCAATTTGTTATGAATTGGAAAGCAGTAGTTATAGAAGTTTTTAATTGGTTTATAAATGATTTTTTTTTTTTAAATATGTTGCTGGTATAGTGAAGACCCGTAAAGAGGCAAAGCAGATGGCAACGAGGGACTCAATATCTGCTTTGAAAGCTAGAGTAGAAAAACTTAAAAGAACTGTCCAAGTTCAAAGGGCTGGGAGGGATGAGTATGCAGCAATCATATCTCAACAATCTCTAGGTAATTATCTATCCTTGCACGATTGGGATGGTTTTTTCTGGTTTATGTACTGCAGTTTTGCACTTCACTGTGTAAAATTTTGAATTATAGAGCTTTTTTCATGCACATTGTTGCTATTGTTCCTTTGCTGGTTATGTGGGACTAGAGCCTTGATAATATTATTGGGGAGAGTTCATATCTGATGAATGATGTATATTATACATTGTGATTAAGCCAGTGATGTATAAGCTGCTGTGAATTTTTGCTATGCAAATCATACTTTAAGTCTCAATTCCTTGATAGACTTTCTTCCTTTTTTACAGAAATTAGTTCTTGCATGGTTGTACCGTCTTTGTTTATTTGGCTATGATTTTTTATGCAAACTAGTGGGTAGTTTGAATCTGTAGTACCTGAGCTTTTGATTTTAGCAATTGATTCAAAAGTATATGATTGGCAAGGAATTGTTATGGTATCAGGAGGTTTGCTTATGCTGTTATTTTGGATTACCATGCTTTTTAAATGTCCAATTACCCTGCTTTAAGCAAAGGAGTAACAAGAAAACTTCTTGCTCGTACTCTAATTTACTGTAATACATGTTTTTTTTTTTCCTGTTTTCTGCTATTTCCAAAACAATATATGGGTTGTTATTTCCTGCTTTCCTTTTAATTATTATTTTTTTAATTTTGTCAATTAGTTTCACAAACTCCATATTGCAAGGGGTCTCCTAATTTACTGCTTATGCTGTGCTCCCTTTCATTTTCTCTGTTTGGTGTTATCGACAGCTTTGGCAACAACTGAAGAGGAGGCAAAGCATGATATTGAAGAAAATGGAGAAATTCAAGAAGCAATTTCATGGTACAACTGGGTTCTGGGTTTTCAGATTGAAGGTGGTCACGGTAAGTGAGATAGTTTAATTGCACGAGATTTAGAATCCCCTTTGTTGCCCCAGTTATTATTTTCTTACTGGCTCTTTTGTTTTCTAGGGGTGAAATTCACATTCAATGATATTAACATAAAAAATCCAAAGCAAGAATATTCTTTTACCATTCGTCATGCAAATGATACCTACTCCTGTAAGTAATGTCCTTATGTATTAGCTATATACTAAACTGGTATATTCTAACATGTTTCTTTAACTTCTTCCTTATGATCTTAAGTGTTGGATTGCGACATACAATTGGATGGCATCAAAGAGTTGATTAATGAGTTGAACAGAACAAATGGCTTATTCAAGTTTGTTAGGATCATGAGAGAGAAGTTTCAAGAAGCAGTAGCACTTGGTATGATTTCATTGTTTCTTTTTACCATGCATACTAGATGCTTAAATTTGACACCCCTCAATTTTGAGGACATGGTTCCTCTTTGTTGAGGCCTTTTCTGTTATTGCTAGTTATTTAACAGAAAAAAACCACAATTTTTCCCATCTGAGATCTGTTCTTAATAAATTTCTTCCATCATTTATACCTTATTAGGATTGCAGCTCCAATACAGAAGTTTGCATCAAGACTCTTCTACAATCTCTATGTCTGGTCCAGCTTTATCAGTTTCAACTGATATAAGTGAATCTTCTGCCAAGAAGAATGAGCATCACATCCCACTTCGAGAAGTAAATAGGCAATTCAAGAAAGTCAACCACGGAAGTAAATCTCCAGCCAAGATAAATGAAAATCAAATTCATGATGGAGAAGTTAATAGACATCCCATTAAAGTAGCCAAATCTGATATTTTATCACCAGTTGTTCGTCGGTCCCCTCGGCTTAAGGTATTATCACCTAAGTGGCATGTTGCCTACCCGTGTTCAACTTTATACAGAAAGTAGCACAATTTTCATATCTGTTTCGCACCAGATTAGGACTAGAAGAACTTTAGTGTTGTTTTCTTTGAATAATTCTACCCATGTCATGTTTATATTTTTATTTCTTACACATTAAGTTTGGAGGCAGGGGGATAGTAGCCAAAAAGAAAGGATATGGGTAGCCAGTTTGTGGAGCCTGTTTTCCTACTTGCAAGCCAAACTGGCAATAGGTTAAACTCCAGTGCAGTGCTGCCAAAAGAGCAAATTTGTTTCCTTAACACCCTGGATGTTTAAAATTTTCAAGGTATGACAAATGTTTGAGGGAAATTGTAGTATGGATGGGATGGAGTTTGAGGTATAGAGTATGAGCTGTCAAGCTTGGGCTGGTTTCCTAGCCTTACAAATAATCTACTAGCTTACCTACAGGAATGTCATAAGTTATGTAGATTAAGGTACTTGTGTTATATCCTTTGTGATCTTGGGTCAAGGCATTCGTGCGCATGATGAACTTGTATGGTTTGTGTTATCAGTTTTTCCACATGTAAACTGCATGATTAACACCAAAGAATATTTTCTAATTCAAGATATTGGAATATATGGCAGGCTAAAAAATGAAGTTGAAGGGGAGGTTGCTTAATATGCTACCATTCTTCACTGATCTTAACTTATGGGACAAATGTGCATATATTTCATCGAACTTGGACGGGACAGATTGAAGTGCTTCAGCAAACCAAGTTGTGCCACTAACCTGATATCTCCTGCATCCTAGGCGTCGATTATATACTTCATTATCTAAATGAAGCAACATCAGCTGACAAGTTGGGCCAATGGTCGAAAAGCTTTATCACTGGTAAATGTTAGTATTTTCCATTGTATCTTTTGGATGAATGTATCACCATTTTTATCACTCTAATCATCTGTATGATTCGCAATATCATCGAGTTAGACTTTAGGGTTCTAATTTTCTTTGCAGTAGAGGAAATTGAAAGGTGTGTATATCAGGGTTTGCCCATTTTGTTATTTGCTTTCTTCCTGTACTTTTAAGAATTTATGATGCTGTGGTTTTAAGTTCGTAGGATGTCATTGGGGTGGTGCAAATATTTGAGCTCTCTTGTATTCCTTACTAGTTTTTGTGAATTTATTTAATGAATTTTACTTTTTTTTTAAAAAAATTCATTTCATGTATAATTGCAATAAAAAAGTTTTATTAATACATTTAATTTCAAATAATAATCTAGTTTTGTATTCATAAAAACGTAATTGAGTATAAAAATATTTGTAATATTTGTTGCTTTGGTTTAATAGAATAATATTAAAAAAATTATTAAAGTACCAAAATATCATTGCTTTGCTTTGGTTTATTTGTGAAAGTAGGATTTTTAACATAAATAATATAATTAGTAAGGATTTTTAACATTTCAATAGTGTCATCTGATGCCATTTCATCCTGTGTCCGTTTGTCCTTGAGCACATGGTAGTACGAATCATAGAAGAGTACATAAAGGAGCCAATGAATAAGGCAGTGCTTACTCGAATATTATATTGAATTTTTTAGATAAATATCCAAAGCAAAGCACAAAATTTCAATAAACAAAAAATTTCAAAAGCAAGAACATTCTTTTCCCATAGCAGAAAGCAATGTAAAAGTTGTCACATTTTATTAATACTAGTATTTAAGTAGATATGAACTGAAATAATACAACCTAAAATTCATATTGGGCAAATTAGGGGTTGATTCAAAATTAGCCCCCACCCTTTTATTAAGTACCCAACTAATCCTGTAAAATTGTCTTCTGCATTTACAAGTGCAGTGCTTAATTATGTACAAAGCTTCCTAATCTAAGTTTTTACCATGTTTTCCAGAGACAAAATTACTTTGGCTAAACATGGGAGAAGAAAATAATAATAATAATCTAATTAACTCGGTGTTTGATGCTGCAACCGCCTGTGGATCAGAGCTCGGGTCTGCCTCCACAGCCTTTGAGCCTCGGATTCATCACTGGCTAAGGCTGAGCAGCTGCTCTCGTTACAGTCTGCAAAGTATTTCCCACTTATCCCTTCTGCTTGTGGGCTCAATGCTACATAGCAGCTGGTGGATGCACCCTGCATTTCATTCCCAACTCTAATAAGCTTGCAAAACCCAATATCAAAGCCCTTTTGCTGTCTCTCATACTCTGAGAGTCATGAATCTTTTGGATGATGAAACAGACAGGAAGATAGAGACAAAGACAAACCTGAGAGGTAGACTTGAGCAATTTGGATGCAATAAAGAAAAGAGAATCTGCATATAGAGCAATTTGGGCAGCTGTTAAATTAGATTTTGATTAAAAAAGAAAAGAAAAGAAGAAGCAATCATGAAAAAAATTTGTTTACTGAAAAGGGAGATTCTTGCCTGTAATAAACCCCTTGTGTGCTCTGATAATCCCAGTTTTTACAATGCCAGGATGCACTGCATTGATAGTTACTTTTGCATTTTTTGCCTGCAAATTTTTTCCCATATCACTCTTCAGTTTAAAACATTTTAATGGCTGTTTACAAATTAAAGCAAAAATAAAAGTTTGGTGTTAGTTTCAATTTTTTTCACATAACACTTCGCGATTTCTTGTTTTTTAATTCATACTATATAGATATCTTCTTTTTTTTTTTTCAATTAACATATTGCGAATAATTTCGATCTCTATGAAATGCTATGCATGAAAAGTTTAAACAATGAGAGATGTAAGTAGAGTTTACCCCTTTTTATTTTTTTTTTGTGAAATATTGATGATCATGAGGGAAAACTTTTACAAGATAATGGAATTGAACTTGTCATCACCTTTAGCTGCCTGGTTATTTCTTTGGCATGCAAAATGTTTGCTAGTTTGGATTGAGCATAAGCACGGGTGCCATTATACCTGCATGAACATGAAATATTATATAGTAAGTGCATTGTTCTAAGTCATTGCAACCTGCATTATATATATTTAGAGCAAGGAATAAACATTTATTATCTGCCATTAAATCTCTGAGACATTTTCATTTGTTTGGGAGAAATGGTGGTAGTGAAATTTTTACTTCTTGGGGTTGAGCATTTGGCTGAAGCAGAAACAGTCTCTTTTCACCCAGCTGTGAATCACAGAAGACAGGTTTATGATTCTTCCTTGGATGCCTGTCTGCTCTGCTGTTTCTATCATCTTTTCTAGCAACAGTTCTGTCAATAAATAATGCCCTGCCAAAAAGACAAAAACAAAAGAAAAAAAATGATTGAATGAATCTCTTTTTCCTCAAACATCTAACTCCTATAAACATTGAATACCCAAAATTTGCTGAACAATGTAATTTGATTCTAACAACATTTACATATTTTCCCAAGATTCTAATTGGGATTGGCTCTTGTTTCATGCATGTATCGGATATTGCATGGAAAGTGCTTATTCTTATGAATAACTGTGTGTTCATAATCACAGAAACTATCAGAAAGAGAGAGAGAGAGCCCATAAAACTAGACATAAGGACCAAATCAGATCAATTTGGGGCCTCGAATTTTGTCTTTCAATTCAGATACAAACAAAAAAAAAATCAAGAAAAATGTGGTGCACATAGTCAAGATTACCCAAGTAATTTGTTGCAAATGTCATCTCAATCTTGTCCTCAGAGAACTCCAAATTCTGAGAGAAAATCCCAGCATTGTTTCTGCAAAATGATCATAAAAATTTTTCAGCATTTTATCTTCGTCCCACTGCTACTCTTTTCATGTGAGAAAAAAGGCAAAAAGAAAACGTAGCAGAACAAAAAAAAGGTAGGAATGGAATATTTTGTACCCACATGAGGATGTTGAGGGGTTGTCCAAGAGCCAGGAACTCAGCACAGAATCTCTTCACAGAAGCCAAAGAGCTGAGATCAATCTCAGACAATATAATCTCAGCATTCGGGTTCTCCTTCAGGATCCCCTCCTTCAGTTCGACTGCCTTCTTTAGATCTCTTGCTGGTATCACAACTCTCACTCCTCTCCTCGCCAGCACTCTCGCTGTCTCAGCTCCAATGCCCGACGTTGCCCCTTCAACACATCCACCAACATATGAGTATTGTGATGCATAGAAAAGACTAAACTAAATTAAATGATAAAGATTGGATTAAATTAAAACCCAAGGTGGAAAACTTTATGTTAAAAAAAGATCTGATCTGAACCAGTGAAAGATCTTTACTAATAAACTATCTGGTAGAAGAGACAAAGCCATATCTTTGTACAAACAAAAAGAACCACAAGCAGAAAACAACAAAGACAAAAATAAAATATGTGGTTCAGAGTGTTTTCCTGAAGGGCTTGAAATGAACATAAAATCATACTCCATAGAATATGCTCAGTGCTCACGTACTACAGCTATGAATACAATGGAAATTTCAGCCTGGATCGAATTCTCAGGCAAATACATGACAATATTCTTTCAGAATCCGTGAAAGAAAATGGGAAAAAAAAGGGAACCGAAGAGAGCGGATGATCGGAAAAATCAATGAGAAAGCAAAGAGGGATTACTGTTCAAACAGGTAGAAAAGACATAACCCTACCAAAGGTGAGAATCTCCTGAGAAGAAGCAGTATTCATAGGAAAACTTGCTGAAAAGAAGAAAAAAAGGCAGACGTAGACTTGGTGTGAATCCGTATTATACACAAACAAAGCCTGTTTTCCATGCATGCAAGAATCAGAGAAGAAAAAGTGATTAAGAAAGATGAAATGTTTCCATCAGAAAGTTTTTGTTCCTCCACACATATGAGAGATGAATTTAAATTTTGTAGACTAATTACCAGTGATTATAGCAGTTAGATGGTGAGGGTCGACCCAGCAAGAACAATTGTCTGCAACTTGTTCAGCTGTTGATTTCGAGCCATAGCCACTCGGGCCTGCAATGCCTGCCAAGTATCTTAGCGTTTCCTTCATCAGGGTGCAGCAGCTTAAGCTTAGAATCTCAAAGCAGCAAGGCAGGAGTATGGCTAGAAGCAAGAAATATATAGTACACATAGTTTGTACACCGCATAAAGAAGCTTCGGAATTTTCTTTCTAGTCCACGGACCACATTAATCTCGTGGTCTCAACCAATTAAACCAAGCTGGGTTGTCAAAGTTTGTTACTTTCTGCTGAATTTTACTGTCATTTTTTCCATTGGAATGATTGGTTTGTTGAACTTGAGGCTCGAGACCACCTAGGACTGGGTGGTCCATTGACTAGCTGATCTTTTCCAGAACCGAAGACATCTTTAAAGTGCTGTGATTTGTGAGAATCCACCATTATCTCTTATGTCTTTCGTATTCATGATTATTTGTCTCTCTGCCCTTGATGGGTGGCTTCCATTGTTGGTCATGGGGTTGGATTTTTTTTGGTTGTCTTCCCCCCTCAGGGTCGTTTTGCTGTTAAATAAAGCAAATGGAAACATTGGAATTATATGTATCATTCATGGTAAACTTTGCTGTCACCTTGTGATTTCTGAGGTTTAAACAAATCTGGAGCTGTGAAGTAGCAAATTTTGACTTGCAAACAGTCTTTTTGGCTTTTCTTTTTGTTTTGGGTTTGTTTCTTTTAATTCTTTGGATTTGATGATAAGACCACAATCTGCCTATTATGTCAGTAGATCATGGAAATCTTGTGAGACATATTAACATATTTGGGAATTCAACCTGAGTGCCAATCTGGTGACCAAATACTGCATTTGATGAGAGAGAGAAAAGAATGGAATGGAAACCAATGAAACCATGGAAAGGAAATTACCCTTCTTACACCTAAAGATGGGAAAACAAATTTCTTCCTTATAAGTTACAACCATAGAAGGAACTTCCTTTATATCCTTTGTGCTTCATTTCATTTTCTTTCCCTTTTTATGTTCTTCCTTCTGATCATCAAACATGGAGTACAAACTACAATTAATCAAGTACAAAGGGTTAATGAAAAGGAAAACGTTTGAGACAATATATATATATATATATATATATTTATACAGGGAAACAAAAAGCAATAACTAGCAATTAGTTTCCTTTGATCCAAAGAAAAACAAAAGAGAATAATCTCCCATGATTTCCACTAGGGAGAAAAAGAGGGTTTGATGTATGATTTCAACGTTGAAAGATTAAAGCTAAGTCCCTGTGTTCATTACCATGGAAAAATAAAAAGCTAGTGGTTTTGATTGGATTGGTGAAAGTTTTTTTTGCCTTCAAATTCCTACTGATGACTGATCCTGCCATGGATTGGTTTGCATGTTACTGACTCACACGTGCACATCTAGAAAATATTCAATTCGTAATAATTCTAACAACTAAGCAAATCACGAGTGATATTTTACAGAGGGTAATTAAAGTACGATCTGGCAGAGTTTGATGGAGAATTTTATTTAGTAAAACTATCAAAATACCCTTGATTCAAAATTATTTTATTTATTCACATTTAATGATATTTTTCATAAAAATTATCCATAAGATACTAATTTAAAGAGACTGATAAGATACCATATCAGAAAAATGGAAAGAAAGAAAGAGAGAACATGATTCAACAAAAGTGGTTGCTTCTTTTCTTTTTCTCTCCCGTGTGAGACCCTGTCACCCACGTCTCCTTTTGGTCTCCATATCCTTCACTTTGAGAAATGATGGGGTATGCTGGGGATTTGATGGAGCAAAAGAGGAGCAATGAGGTTGACTCCTCAACGATGGAGGTTGTGAAATGGCAAAGCACAAGGGCCCCATAGGTTCCCCAACCTGCCCACACCTCTCATCACATTGCCACGGGTTCCAGAAGCACCTCTGCCCTTTCTTAGCTTCACATGCCATTGCCCAATTTCTTCTCTCTTCTCCCTTCCTTTTTCACTTTCACACACCACATGCCATTGCTTCACACGAAAAGGTGCCTGAGAAAGTAAAAGCTCAAAGGTTTGATTATAGGGGAGGGGGGGAGAGAAGAGAAGGGTATTTTCTTTGTGCTGCAAACAAAGAAATGGAAACCAAACCAAAAGGGACAGGGAATCCTGTTTAACTACTGTGGATTCTATGACGCCAGCCTTCCTTCATATATAGAAATGGTAACCGGTAAGATCTCTTCCCATTACAAAATCTAATCCTTATATATTTAAAAATATTGAAGGTATCCGTCACAAAACTTGATCCGACCCCTCTTGAATTCAACAATAAAAAATAAAATTTAATTATTTTTTATGTATTTTATTAGTCCAAATTACACAAACTTAATGTAAATTATATATTTAGATAACATAAAATTAAACTAAATAATTCGTCATACATATACTAAAAAAAACATAAAATTAAAACAAATATTAAAAAATCTATTATCTAGAATCGGATTTGGATACCAAATACTTTAAAGTTATTTATAAAATACCCTAACCTATTTAAACATATCGAACAATACCCAATACTCATTTACATATTACTTCTATATATATTATATTATATTTAGATAATTTATAAATTAAAATGAATAATGTGTCATACATATACTAAAAAATAACATAATATAAAAAATTATTATTTGAAACTGGATTCATATACGTAAAATTATTAGGTATCTATCAAATCTGATTATATAGTATGTAATCTTATTTAAACATATTAGATGTTTTTAAAAAGGGGAGAATGAAAGGTTAATTTAGGTTATAATAAACAGTGTTTTTATAATTAGATTCCGTTGATTTGATTGTCCGAAGTTAGGTGAGAGGTTGAAACTTGATGACTGAAATAAGCATCTTATCTCTGTGTTTGATCATAGTCCAATGCCAGGCCAAAACTTTCTGGACAGGATGACAGTAGTCTCTAGGAAGGCTGTCCTGCCTCTTCCACAGTTAAGACAATGGGTGGCTCAAAGTCTCTGAAGTGAGTTCCTTATGTCCGGTCGTTCTTTGATTTCTCATATGTTTTCTTGTCTGTGAAGGGGCAAAGGTCTCATGGCATGTCAAGTATGACCCAAATACTATTAAAGAGACAAAATTGAAGAAACATACTCTTTTTGTTTGTTTTTTTATTTGATTAAAATTGAATTCGATCAAACTAGTAATAATAATAAGAGACAAACATTAATGTGACGGAAGGAGTATATAATAATTTTGGGTATTGGAAATTTCATGAAAAAAAACAAAATATTGTTCGATATTCAAAACCTTTAACCATATTCGTTGACTTTATCAATCCCTCACATGGACAATTATCAAACTCTAATTATCTCAAATCAAATCGCCAACAGCTCCACCAATTTGATGTAAAATGACATGTTTATGACCTTAAGCTAATGCCATTACCCAGCTACCTAACCAATTTAATTGTCGTTTTGTTACTCATAATTCAACAAATCCAAAAAAAATTAATTTTTTTGTTTATTTTTAACTTTTTTTTTTTGTAAAAAAACAAACGGATTTAGTAAATTATGATGCAATCTTTTTTTCTAAAAAAAGAAAGAAGGGAAAAGGATTTTTTTTTTTTTTTAATTTTGTGCTCGAAGACCTTAGGGCCCCTAGTGTGACAACCATGTCTCCCTTGATGAACGAAGTTTTCCAACCTGAATTGATGCATTCAACAAAAGCTAAAAAGAAAAGAAAACTAGCATTGCCGACAAACCCTAAAATTCCCTCCCGTATATCAAAATCATGGCCGGCCTATCTTTTTCATCCATGAAAAATTAACGAAAAGTGTTTACTTAGGAAAGAGACTTTTACATTATCATTTTCATGAGTGCTATAAGCCCGCACCCCACGTGCCGTTCGCCAATCGGGCGACGGCATGTGGCTTTCGTAGAGTTCGACCACACGAGCCAATCACGGCGGAGGAGGTCGGAGGGTGGGACACGACGGAGCTATAAGGTCTTCCACCCCACTTTTTAATAATTCCACTTAGCATAGATAATTAGCTCTAAATTATTACCATGGTAATCCATGTTAAATAATAAACAAACAATAGTTTTATCAATGCTTTTTCTTTTTGCTTATGGGCCCTTTTTGAATACTAAGATTTCAAGAAAAGGCTGTTTGTCTTTATCTTCGTGCACAAAATCTAATCGAAAAGTAAGTTTTTTTTTTCTCCAACGATTGTTAATTATTCATTAAAAGAAACAAAACCCAAGAAAAAGAATCCACAAGCATTAATCTAAAGTTAGTTTAAAGAAGAATGCTTATGGATTAGGAAACTTGATTAAGATCATGGATACATACCTCCCCATTACCGACATTTATGTTCAAAATAACATAAAAAAAAAGAAAGAAAAATGTTGCTTTTAGCTTTGTGATTACTTGAATTGTTTAAAGACAAGTTGAGGGGGTGTTGAAAAAGGGGAGAGAGAATGGAGAAATCCTCTAAAAAGCACAATAATTCAAAGACAGTATAATGTGTTTGCCATTTTAGCTAAGTGAGTGGATATTATACCCATGGAAGCTGTACATTTGGACATGGACAAAACCCCAACAAAAAAAAAAAAAAAAGGCAAAACAAATTAAAATTTTGGGATTTTACATGGCTCAAAATTGAAGCTTTCAAAATTATTTTGTCAAAGTTTTTCAAATGGGAAATGATGAAATATTGGTTAGTTTTCAGACTTTGGGTTTTCACTATTTGAAATAAAAAGCCAAAAAAAAATAAATTCATTTATATGTTAGTAAGATGAAATATTTGGTCTCGTATTTTCTTTCCATTTTTGTTGTTGTCATTGTATGTATAATCGTATTAAGTATTTAAAAATGAAAAAAAATTGTTTTGAGACATCTGAAAAAAAAATATGGACAAAAAAAAATAAAACAAAAAGAGTAGTAAGGTGAAATATTTTGCCTCATTTTTATTTTCCCATTTGTCATGGTCATGGTATGTATAAGTTATCAAAATAACATATATATATATAATATAATATAATATAATTGATAAATATTAAGAAAAAAGAAATATGATATAACTGATTAATTAAAACATGCAAAGGTATCTACCCACTTTGATTTAAATATACACTTACCTAGCTAAAATGGAAAACACATTAATAAAAAAAATGATATTTAGTTAAAAATGACAAAATCTGTCCCCATTCGAACCCAACAATTAAAAAAAATGATTTTATGTATTTTATTAATCAAAATTAAATTAATAAATACAAAGTAAATTTTACATTTAGATCATCTAAGTATTAAAATAAAATAATTTATCAATTATAAATGATATATACATTAAAATTAATATAAAAATTGAAATAAATATTAAATTATTTAATATTTATTATTGAATTCAGATAATGGAATCTTAAAATTATTATCCGTACTTTACTTGAGCCCGATTATTAGATATCCCTAGTTTCATTTAAACGGATCAAGTAATACCGTACAAATTTACCAACTGCTGCTATTTGATTTAGGGATCAGGTACTAAACGGGCCCATAACAGACATCAAAATGGGCCTTCACTGTGGCCCAAAAACATGAACCTACCCTCAATTTGGGTCAACGGCTCCCGTACATATTAAGGAATGAAGCCCAATAAGATGTCCACGATGCTAATCATCCGTTAGTTCATTCGTTTCCTGACAGTCAAAATCGTGGGACTGCTCACAGGAGATCGTAGCTTCTTCCTCCCCATTTTCGAAATCGGTTAACTTGTCGCTGCTTTCTGCTAGTAAAACCTTTTAGCTTTCTCCCTCCTTTTTTTCTCACTCAAAATCAAATTTCTAGGGTTTTGCCCCCGAAATCCCCGCTTTCCATGGCTTCTCACGCGCATCTCGACGATGTAAGTTCCTTCTTTCTCATTATACTATGGCGCTGATGTATTCCATTTTAGGGTTTACAATTTTTTTTTTTGTAATTTAATGGTAAATTGGTGTGTGTTGGAGAACAGGATGACGAATTTGGCGGTGATTTTCCCGGGAGTCATAGTACTAGGCATTCAGGTTGATTCGGTTTCTCTGTAACCAATCATTGGATTTTTTTTATTTTTTTTGTTTAAATTATAAATTTTATCATTTCTTTCGTTGAAATACTTAATTAGGTAATAAAAGAAGCTTTGGTGATCTTGAGGACGATGAGGACGATATTTTTGGATCAAAAAAGGTAAAATTTATTTCACCATTTTCACTAATCCCTGCAACTTTATGGTTTTTTTTAACCTAATGAAATTCAAAGAAATTCTAAACACGGAACACTAGTGCTCATTTAGTTCCTCTTCATTTATTTGTGACTATATAGTGTTAGCTTAGAGAGTTTCTGTTGGCTGTGAGATTCTGAATTAATGTTGAAGTTAGTTAAGAACTTGGCTGTTCTTAACATTATTGAATTAATGGGTGCTGAATTGGCTAGAAGCAAATATGTCTACGCTTCAAGGATTTGAATTTGAAAGAAACTCACATCATCTAGTGCTTAAGCTTGAGAAGCCTCTTGTGGATAAACAAAATTCGGAGTTTTTTTTTTTTCTTTTCCTTGTCTTTTGATAATCTGCCATTCTGAAGTTTGTATCTGAGGAGTTTTGTCTTTTTGTATAGCAGGGCAATTCTAAAGTAGAGGAAACTGCCCCTGGTGTAGCAACAGGGATGATTTTGTCACTTCGAGAGAGGTATAAAGCAAAGAATGACATATGGCTAAAAGATTATTATCTTTACGTACCTGCTTGTTTGCTTTAAATTTTCTTGGAGGCTTATCATCAGCTTTTGTTGTGATTATGTTTTTTGACTGTTTCCCCACCTTTTGCAGTCTTCAGAATTGTAAGGATGCCCTTGCAACATGCCAAGTATGTATTAATCTATTTTTTGATATCATCCAGTTGTTTCTTTGTTTAATCCTTCTATTATAATATGCAATATGTTGTGCAATCACTGTCTTGGTAATATGATAGATAGAATGAGTTTAATCATAAAAATCTGCTTCACAAAATAAGAAAAAAGTTTTCAATGTAATATGGTATACCTGTACATTTTTCAAGGGATTATCTCTTTGGCTGCAAAAATTTTATGGTTCTTGTCAACTGGGAATGTTTTTGGATGCTTTATTATGTTCTTTTGTTTTTGCTCAAAGGTTTTGTTAATAGACTTGGAAAGTGTTTTTAGGACGGTAGCTATCATGTCTGTACGAGCACTTTCTTTCTGTCTCAAGTTTCAAATGATATTATAAAGGCGAGGGGAATTGGCCTAGTCCACAAATTTCATGGTTGAAGAATTTAATGCCATCTACTCAAGCTTACACATTGTTATTCATAAACTGTGATTTTTTTCTTTCCTTTTCCTTTTCTTATTTCGAAATTTCTTGATTATTTGATTATGATGTTTCCTGTTTAGATGGAGCTGGAAGCTGCAAAATCAGAGATTCAGAAATGGCATTCTGCATTTCGGAATGAGCCCTTCATACCAGCTGGAACAACTCCTGGTTAGTCTTTTCTTAGGGTGTCTTCCATATTTATCTATCATATTTTTTGACCTGTTCTCTGTGTTTCCTGTTCAAAGGTTTTTGTTTTTGTAACTTTACGTTTATGATCATTCTATGTGTTCTATCTTTCTTTGTTTTGTACCTTTTCCTGTAGAACCCAAGTTAGTATTAAATTATCTTCAAACTCTGAAATCTTCTGAGGAGGCACTGAAAGAACAGGTAAGAGTTGATGTTACTTATTTTTCCACTATATTTCATTAACAGTTTTGATCTGTCATGCAGAATTTCTTACATGTTTTGATCTTATTTTCAGCTAGAAAAAGCAAAGAAAAAAGAAGCTGCATTTATTGTAACATTTGCAAAACGTGAGCAGGAGATAGCTGAGTTGAAGGTAACAATTTTTTCTTCTTTTGCATTTTCCCCTCTTTTGAGTGGCATATCTATATCTCAAATTGTTTAGCATGCAATTTTCTGCTCTATTTGGTAGAATTTGCAAGAATGAGAAATTGCGAAGGAAGAGATTTCTCAGAAAGGGTGATCATAATGGTTTTAAAAACTCAATTTGCATTTTACTCAAGTATTGCTTGTTGTGGAAATGGCCAACATCAGGACTTCTTGACTGGTGAATCTTTTATCACAAATGTCCACTGCACTGCTTCCTTTAGGAAGCTGCAGAGATTATATAGTTTTGTCAGTGGCGATGTTTCACCATGGCTGGTAGTTCTGTTGATTCCCAACCTGGCGAGAACTTTTACTTTGTTCCTTTAGCCTGAATGGAGTGACATTTCAACTTGGCTTATCTATAAACGGTCCTTTAAGATCACCCTTGTGGGAGTTTATGTTGCTGTAGCTTCGGGCGATGACCTTCTATTGTGTATTTTGCAGTGGACAATTCTGGATGAACTTGTGAGGGCACCTTCACCATTTTTGTTTACTTTTATACAGTCATCCTGATCCTTAATTTAGTTATTTTTTTCTTATAAAGTATTACGCTGTCTTACTTAGTGCATTGATTACATGAACATGATTTTCTAAACGCATGGCTATCTGAGACCAAAATCTCTTTTAATTTCCAGTCAGCAGTTCGTGACTTGAAAGTGCAACTCAAGCCACCGTCAATGCAGGTATTATAAACTGTTTCTTTTATATAAAAGTTAAACCTATTGCTGTAGATATTATAAATTTCTTAGCTTCTCTTGTTTTGCTTATGTTTGTTGAAGATGATCAAGAAGAAAAATGTGTGAAAAGTTTCTTAAGAAATGTAGAGCGTATTATTTTGCTAATAGTTCATGTGCCCAATTTGATTTTGTTGTTATATCTAGTTGAATCAATAGATAATACTGTAACTTAACCTCCCCAAAAAAGTAGATGGTACGATCAAAGCATGGTGATTCAAGACATATGTTGTAGGTACTATATATATCAAAGAAGGTTGAATCTTTCAAACAAGTAATATAAGTGCTAACTACATAGATAGTGTCATAAATGCCTTTCTTTGCACTCATTTGATTCTCTTCTTGAATCTGTTTACAGTGGTTGTTATGATTTGTTGTTAAATACTCCCTGTCACCATTAGTGGAGTTTAAGTTTGAGTTTGATTTTGTGGACTGTTTAAGAAAATGTGTTGTACTTTTGTTCAGTACTCAGCATCACATGCATTCCTTGATTTGACTGGGAGGTGTAAAAAACAATAGTGAAAGGTAATTTGCAAAATTGGGGATATTTTACTTAATACTTTTCAAATGTAACTGATTTGAAAGGACTATAGCTATGGAAACAAGAGAGTATTTGCAGGAAGAAGTGAGTGTGATTTTTGACTGTCAAATGTCTTAAGGATTCCAATCCAACCCCTCCCTTAGTTTTTAGATGACATTGTTGCTACTTCCTAATATTTTCTGTGATGCAGAACTTTGTTGTTTTATTTTTGGGCCTGATTTCATCAAATATCTGTTTCTCTTGTTCTAAACTTTTTGGTCTGTTAAGTTGGAAAGGTGTCAGACATAATTTAACAGTAACATTTTAATCACTTGGCCTAGAACTAAAAAATATGTGCACCGACCTATTTAGTTTTCTTTGTGGTTTATTTGACAGGCCAGAAGGTTGCTACTAGATCCAGCAATTCATGAGGAATTTACACGTTTGAAGGTTTGTGCTTGAAGCTCCTTATTGCTTATTTTGTTATTAATCACATGCTGTGCAAGGATATATATTATTCTGTTGATGAGGTGGGATGAATTTGGAGAGAGAGGAAGCGTAGAGAGAGTGACTTATTTATGTTGTGGAAATTGTATTACAAGTCATGAAAGGACTATAATAATATTAATATTTAATATTTTGTAATGAGTATTAGCCCTTTTGGGTTTTAGGATGGTTTGGAAAATCTGCCCAAGCAGGGGTTATGGTGGATTAGGCCTGACAGAAGTTTGGCTTTTGTTTTGTGCTTTTAAAATTCATGCATTTTCAATTTCTCTTTTGCCTCAATTCTGGGTGTAATTGTTACAACAAGTTTAAGAGTCAAAAGATTTAGGCCAATAAGTTTAATCTGCTATTATACATTAGCTATTCATTCAATGCCATTATGCTAGAATTTGGATGTGGAGATATGCCCTTAAGTAATCCATTGTGCTTATAATGAGTTATTTATAGTTCTTCTAATGTCACGGTGATAGAATTTGGTTGAGGAAAAGGACAAGAAGGTTAAGGAACTGCAGGAAAATATTGCTGCCGTTAGTTTTACTCCACAAAGCAAAATGGGAAAGATGCTGATGGCAAAGTGTAGAACCTTGCAAGAGGAAAATGAGGAGATTGGTACTCAAGCAGAGGAAGGAAAGGTATTGCAGTTATATATGCATTATTTTCAGGGTGCATGCCCATTTATGTGTGTAAAAATTGCATGTTCCCTATGTAAAATTAGGGGGTGGGGTATGGATGGATTGTGAAAGTTTTTGGCAGCATCATAGAAGCATCTTTGTGCTTCGGATATGAAAAAATTCTGAAATAGATTAGAAATGTCATTCAATGCTGAATATGATTCCATTATGTTGAGACTTTGGACTGTTATTTATGCTGATGTTACTGATTTTTGTTGGACTCTTTTGGTCTCTGCAGATGCATGAATTAGGCATGAAACTTGCTTTACAGAAAACTCAAAATGCAGAACTTAGAAGTCAATTTGAAGGTCAGTGTTAAATAAGTTATATATTTGTGGTTGAATGGATTAGATTATGGATGTTTAACTTTTGTGAGAACTTGAATATGTTCTTTGTCATTTTTTAGTTGAAATTGTTATTCCATGGTTGAAAATTTTTGGTTCATGCCATGTTGATCATGATTGTTTTGTTGATTGCAGCACTGTACAAACAAATGGAGGGGCTGACAAATGATGCGGAAAGATCAAATGAAACGGTTTTCATCTTTCTCTCACGATTAATCTTGTCTTATTAAAGTGAAGAAGTATCACACACCATACAGTAAAAGAGGAACAGATGGAAATTTAACTTTAGAGATTTAGTATCCTAAGAGGGTATTTTGAATAAAATCTTTAATTTTAGGATTATCTGTTCTGCAGTGCTTATATCGAAATGGAACTACCATTTCCACATCACTAGAGTCCCAATTAACCATCATGCTGAGTTCAATGGTTGCCCTATTTTAACATATTTATATTCTTTAATGCAAATTAGTTTCATTTGCTTACATGTGCATCCCATCTGCCTGCTCATGATAATGAATAGTTGCATTGAAGAAGCTAAAACATGCATACAATAGGATCGCTCTATAGCCCTTTGTATTTTGATATCTTAATAACTCTGCTGTGGAGTAGGAAAGAAAAGAATTTATGGAAGGGAAAAATGAAACTTTAGCATACCATGTTTGACCGTACATTGCATCTGGGGTTTTGTGGAAAATTCTTTCCATATCGATAAGGCATAAATAGGCAATATTCTCTATTAAGCGACCACTCTTTCCTGGATCCCCCAAAAACAATATCTTTATCTACAAAATTGAAATTCTTGAATTTTGAGGATGGTTAGTAAGCAGATGGCATCTATTCTACTTTAAGTGACTTCTGAAATTTCTTTTGAGTGAGTATATTATGTTGCTGGAGGAAATGCAAGTTGCCATTTCTTGAAGCCATGCTTGTATCTATTCAAATTCTGACACGGAAGTGCAGTTGCATATAGGTGTCACTGTAAAAGATAACTTGCTCCGAGCTCTGGTATGTGAGGATGGGACCAGCAATGGAGGCAAAGTTAAATGACTAACACCATCTAAATTTGATGTTTCATGGTCTATTATATTCAACAAATGATGGGTCAAGTGTTTCATCTTTAGTTGGCGGATCATATTCAATTAGAACAGTGCTGTAGTACTGCTTGTGTAATACTTGTATTTTTCCATGACAGGGTTATCATTCCTTAGCGGTTACAATTGCTTAAGACAAATATCTAATAAGGTCATATTATGATGCAGGTATATATCTTGCAAGAGAAACTAGAAGAGAAAGATAATGAGATTAAAAGGCTGAAGCTGGAGCTGCAACAGAAGACGCTGATGGAAGAGGAAAATAAGACAGATATAGCCATTGATACGAGTAAGGTAAAAGAAGAGATGGTAACTGATGAAACCAGGAACAGTGAACAAGTAGATTGAGAAATTTTGTAGGATATCATTATTTTCACTCCAATTTTTGTTGTCTGTACATTGTACATTAAACAAGTCTTTTCTTTTTTTATTTGTTTATAAGTTTTGAAACGGTATAGTTATGTGGGATTGCACTATTCAAGTGCAAGTCCATAGTGGATCAGAGGATGAGGGTAAACTTAACCCTCTCTTTGGAGGGCATCATGTTGTTTCTTTCCCAATTTTTTTAATCATCTCTAGGCTCTTCGATAATAATTTTGCATTTTGCATGGTAAATTTGATGCTTGCCTGTATTTCAATGGATATATGGTCTAAAATATGGATGTCAACAGTTCCCTGTCCCAGACCTGTTCCTGTTGAGGTGGGGAATCGGGTTTCTCATTGATTCGGGTGAAACCAACATCCCTAGACTCTTAACAAGTATCCTCTGATTTATCCTTGCTTGTTCCTCACTAGGGGAGAAAAACTAAATATGATGTTAGATGAGCTCGAAATATGTATTGATCTTGGATGAAATCTTCTCATATTGAAAGCACATAAGATCATGGTGTCAACTATCTGCAACTGGTTTGCAAAAGCATCTAATTATTTAAAGATTTAGATATTTGCAGTGTTTGCACCCTGAAATAAAACATGTAATACATGTTTGTTAAGCATCTTCTCATCAAAATGTTCGAATACAGCCTCTGCTTTTTAGAGCATTTCTTTCGAAAATGGTCTGTTTTCCCCCTGCTTTTCAGATGGTAACGATCTCTGATATTACAAACCTGTCTACAGATTAGAAGAAATGTACAAAAGCTCTGTTGGCCTCAAACTGCTCTAAGCATAAAAAATTCCTTTTCGCAGGCCATGTATTTAAGTACTCTGTATAAAAATCTGGCATTAGTCATGGAAGAAAAGCTTCTTAAGAGATTGCATGACAGAGGCATAAGCCATTTTTTTTCTTCTTCTCTAGGATTAATAGACATCTTGTTTCTGTTTGTGTAAAACAGGACAGGAATTTTAAATCTAAATGCCATAGCTTTCAGTCAGAATTACAAGATGCTAGTATATCTATGACTGCAGGCAGTTTCCGAACAAATAATTCAAATCTCAGACAGATTATACCTAATAATTTTTAGCAGCGCCTTGTTTGTGGCCATCCCAATCCAGCATTACCAATGTTTCCTATTGGCTGTAATGGCTCTGTCAAGCCCTTTGTGGTGCTACCAAGTGCCTCTCCCTGCATACAATTTAAATGAGTAAAAAGAGTGGAGAATGGTGGTTAAATGGCTTTATATGCATGACCAACTTGTAAAATGACTGAAGAAACGATATTTTCCAAGGTCTTAATCCTTTTTTGTTTTCTTATAATAATCATTTCACCAAAGTCATACCCAACGCACCTCCTTCCAGCCCATGCCTTCTAGAATTCGTCTGGCATAACTCCCAGCACCAAATGACATGTTCAAGGCTTCAGCTTTGGCATCCTCTACATAGGTAGGATCACTATCATGGCCAATGGCTGCATTTTTTTGTCCCGGACCCAGACCAAAACCACCATGCAAGGTTCTTCGCTCAGCAGCTCTATCCCGATATACATGGCTTCTCTGCTGAAATTTGTGGCAAGAGACAAGGGAAAGGCCAGATTGCAAATGGAATG